AAATACTAGCAGGCATTTGTTTTGCATTTGGTGGTGCTGGGGTCATTGTAAGAAAGCAGGTTTTATCCTGCATTGGGTCATGTTGGTAAGGGTAGGTGATGCTGGGACTGTGAAATCTAATGATCTTCCACAGGAGAAGGAAGATTGCAGTGAGGTCAAAGACATTCGTAATTGCTCACATTGCAGCATGCCCTCCTGTAGGCAGGACACAGAGATGTTGGCTATTATGTCATCTGGACAATTCCTTCTTCTGTCTTGTTCAGTTGTGATCACACAGAGGACTGCTTTTCGTCTTGGTCTCTCACAGAGGTTCTCTAATGCGGAAGTTCTCAGATATTATTTATGCTGCTTAGTACACCAGGACCCAATTATGAAAGTCAGGCTGGGTCTAGACAATTTCCCAAAGCTTATGTGTGTGTGTTTGCTTGTGTGTGTGTGTGTGTGTGAGTGTGTGTGTGTGTGTGTGTGTGTGTTTGTGTGCGTGTGTTCATGTATGTGTTTGTGTATGTGTAGGTATGTATGTGTGATTTTTGTGTGTATGTATGCATGTGTGTGTATGTATATTTTTGTGTATGTGTACATGCATATATGTGTAAGGTGTGTGTATGTACTAGAAGTTCAGTGTCAAGTTCAAATTTCTTAAACTTAAACAAGTTGAATTCTCATATATGTTTGTTAGTAGACATTCAATCCTGCACATTCAAGAATAAACCAAATTTTGAAATTCCTACTTTACATTTGTATTCCCTTCACTTATTTTGTTTTATTATTATGGGTATATAAATTTGAACATTACAGTTATATTATTATCAAGCAAATACATTTGGAATTAAAATTATAACCAAATGTTACAAAGACCAAGAAGAAAAAAATTAGTTTTCTTCCAAAGGGACAAAAATTCAAACATTTTATTAGAGTAAATAACTAAATATGATTTGTATAGACATTTTTTCTGAGTTCTGGTTTGATTCTGTATTAAACTACTCTGTCTGCCAACTGCCACAAGTGAGAGAGAGAGAGAGAGAGAGAGAGAGAGAGAGAGAGAGAGAGAGAGAGAGAAA